CTGACACCCCCCCACCATTACCTTCCTAATAAAGTATGTTTTCCCCATACTCAAGTTTTTTTTTTTTTTTTTTTTTTTTGAATTCAAAAATTTCTGTGTAACAAGTAAGCTACGCACAGGTGGTTGACTGTAAACTAAGCCTAGGCATCGTAAGGATGCATATAGCATGCTGTTGAAACAACGGCTATAGGGTACTCATGAGGGATCCACCACAGCCAGCTGCATTGCAAGAATCTGAGGTGTTGAGAGTGGTGTAACTGGTTGCAAGTAGGTCATGATCAGTGTAAAGATAGTTATGAGGAGACCAGCATGAGAAAATTTGAAATTGACAGCATCAACATTTTTTTTTCAGCCTTCAGCCAGACACCCCCCCCTCCTACCCTTGGTTCGGGATCCACATCCTGCTACCCCCTTGTATCCCCAAGTTTCATTCCCTCATTCACTACATCGAATCTATCAAGGCTTTTGGTACTACTGACAACTACAACACAGAGATGTTTGAACATCTCCATATTGATTTTGCTAAATATGGCTGGTAGTGTTTTAAAGTCCAGTCTAGTCTGGTTTTTTACCTCAAAATGAGGCAACTGGCAACCACAACCAGTCCAGACTGATCCAGATATTAAGGGACCCCAACCAAACCCTTTTAGACCGGTGTCGGAGTTTTCTAAGTTCGGTCACAATTGGTCACAATTTGTTGTGCGCGTCACAATTTGGATTGCCGTCATAAGTCAGTGTGACCACAGAGTTTTTAATTACAATGCTGGTTGCAACGAATATTGGAACCACATTCCAACTCCGTGATAAGATTGCAACGATAACGATACGTGATAACGGGCTACCAAAAGTATTAGTACTGTCCTGTGTTTTTGTAGTCCCTTATTGTATTCGCTTTTGTAGTTACGGTTAATTCATTAGTCTTCTTATTGTAGTGTTTCTGTTATTCTTGTTATTGTAGGGTTTATTGGTATTGTAGTGTTCCTAGTAGTTTGTAGTTAGTAATTATTGTGCTGTGTGGGATTTGAACTTATGACTTACTGATCGTTATTATTTGAAACCTTTCTTACCTTGTCCATAGTAACCACTAGGTTATTGCTTGATATATAGACAAGCCCTTCAGTTCAACTTGACAGAATGGCCACTGGTTCCCACCAGTCCCAATGTGTCGCCACAGGCCCACCACGATTTCTTCCCTTTCCCCCTCGCCAAGAGGCCCCACTTCATCGTCAGGCCTTTCCTCGCTCAATCCCGGTCCTTTGACCACCACATCCGCGCTTCTCCCTCAACTATTCTTTGGATCGGACCAAAGTTGAGCTCGATCTGCAACAGGTACGTCACATACTCATGGGAGACTAACGGATCACTCTGGTCTAACACCAGCTCGTACATGCACATTATGGACGACTTTGATTTGACTGCCATTCTCCCCATCGAGATCCGTACCGACATACCAAGAGGACC